TGGTTGCCGCCACACACACTTGACACCATCTGAACCAAATATGTTTATCTTGGTCTCATCAGACCACAGGACATGGTTTCAGTAATCCATGTCCTTAGTCTGCTTGTCTTCAGCCAACTGTTTGCAGGCTTTCTTGTGCATCATCTTTAGAAGAGGCTTCCTTCTGGGCAGACAGCCATGCCACCAATTTGATGCAGGGTGTGGCGTATGGTCTGAGCACTGACAGGGTGTCCTGTCAGTTTTAACCTGTCCTGTTAAACCACTGTATGGTCTTGGCCACCGTGTAGCTGCAGCTCAGTTTCAGGGTCTTGGCAATCTTCTTATAGCTTAAGCCATCTTTATGTAGAGCAACAATTATTTTTTTCAGATCCTCAGAGAGTTCTTTGCCATGAGGTGCCATGTTGAACTTTCAGTGACCAGTATGAGAGAGTGAGAGCGATAACACCAAATTTAACACACCTGCTCCCCATTCACACCTGAGACCTTGTAACACTAATGAGTCACATGACACCGGGGAAAGAAAATGGCTAATTGGGCCCAATTTGGACATTTTGACTTAGGGGTGTAGTGTACACACTTTTGTGGCCAGCGGTTTAGACATTAATGGCTGTGTGTTGAGTTATTTTGAGGGGACAGCAAATTTACACTGTTATACAAGCTGTACACTCACTACTTTACATTGTAGCAAAGTGTCATTTCTTCAGTGTTGTCACATGAAAATGTGAGGGGTGTACTCACTTCTGTGAGATACTGTGTATATATATATATATATATCATTTTTGATTATTTTATTTTTTTACAGATCATGCTGCTTTTTGGAACTTTAATATTACCAATTATGATTATGGAAACATTGTATTAGGAATTTCAGCATCTCTCGGTTAATTACAGCCACTAATGAGGTTTTTGATTTATCTTGTAATTGTGATTCTATAGCAGCTATATCTACAGGTCAAGAGAGCTGTCAGTATATGCCTCTTAAAGGAGTAGTTCATCCCTGCTGAACAGCAGCAACATCTTCAATGTTTTTATTAAAATATCACTCAAATATATGGAACAGTATAAATTGAATCAGAAATGTGTCCAAACACTAACTATAATTGCAGACATTTAATGAAGGGCCTACCATCCTTATTTTCTAGACCTATAGCGATTCAGTATGTTTGGTGTTTCTCAAGTAATCCGAGATGGATTAAACCTACCTATTAGTAATATTTGTATTTAATGAGAAAAGTGTAGTGTAGACCGGTCCCTCACACCAGTTGATGGCGGTATATTTAAGCTTTACATGTGGGGAATGGGAGTGAGCGCTCAGAGATACTGCCCTCTATTAGTGAACGGCGGGAATTACACGTCTCTACAGAAACTGGGTGCAAAATACATACCGCCTTTCGGATTGAAAATAAATAACTTCTTTCATTAAAATCATGCAAGATTGCAAATCGTACTTTCCCAAGGTGAGTGCAAGCTAGCAACTGTTTGAGGTACTTGTTATGGTTCGTTTTTATTTCGTGCATACAGCCCTTTAGCTGCTGTTTTTGTCATTCAATTCCCTTGTGCAGCACGCGAATGACATGTTCCTCATGCACTGTATCGCCCAAGATGTAGCTACAAAGCGCGTTTGATTTTGTAAAGAGGTGTAATTCAACGTTGAGATGTTGCAGACTAATTGTATAGTTATATCTGTTTATGTCTGAAGAGCGTACTAAATCTGCAGCATCCATTGCAATGCTTGTTATTAGCATGTGTTATATTCACGCTCATTTTATAATTTCGACTAAAACTAAATCGACGAGTAGTCTGCAGATTATCCTTATGTTGGGTTTAATTGTTGTGATACAGCGTTTATTAAACATTTGAGTGAAGTGCCACGGTAAGTGGCCAGGCCTATCAAAATCTAAGCATGAGCAGGCTGGCCAATTTTCTGCCTCTATTGTTGCTACATTTGGAACCTAGGTTGTGTATAACGAATAACTAACTTTAACACTTTACTTCAAAACGAAAGCGGTGTAGCAATTTTGCAATTTTATAGCTGAGAGAAATGAGTTTTCTCATTTAAATATGCATGAACTCACCGACGGTTGTATGTGAGATTTTGCATGCGATACGTGATTTTTCCGCTTTTTCCAGAGTTTCCCGCTTTTTTTAATTTTATTTTACCAAGTATATAGTTATAATCACAGGTGCCACGTTTTTAGTAATGTTATCTTTGTATTCATGATAGTTTTGCACAAAGTAAAAAGCACTAAAAAATTACATATTAGGTTCCCCTAATGTCATGGAAATCAAGAAATGTTCAGTATTTAAACAACAACATAGTTTAAATAATATGGTAATTATTATAATAATGTAAAACAACTCATATTGTTATTATATTGAATATTGTGTTTTACTGTATACATTATATTTCAGTTTCATGCATCCTAGAAAACAAGAGTGAAGAGTTTGTGTTTTTGATGCTAGTTTAATTTAATTTCATCCAAAATGTGCCCAAAAATAAAATGACACTGTACAAAGGTAATTACATTTTTAGGACTGCATTACAGAATTGTCTTTTATATCGAAACATTGCTGAACTCATAGGCAATGTTAATTAATTACTGTAATTTAATTACTTTACACTTGAAAAAGTAATGGATTACTCTTAATTTTTCTGTAATTTAATTACAATTATTTGACGTAATTGCATTAAATACTGTATACATTATTGAACAATTCTACATAAAATAATAATAGATTGATCATCAAAATTTTTAATGTTAAAATGTATGTTTTAACGTAACTTTCTGCTATTAAATACTTTGGTTAGTTCATGAATAAGTAATCCGAGCAGCTGAGTCCTTAGCCATCTTCAAGAATCGGCTAAAAACACATCTCTACCATCTTTATTTGACCTTCTAACTCTAGCAAAAAAAAAAAACCTTGTCCCTTTTAGAGTTGCACTCTATTCATTTACTAACTGCTTGTTTTCTTTAAAATTAAAATAAAAACTAACACTAGCTTTTCTAATCTTTTTGTATTATATCTATTTGTTTTCTTTTTATTTATTATACCATTTATTTTTCTAAGTTGTATTCCTTATAGTGGAAGTTCATTCTTACGTGTACTGCGTTAAAGGGATAGTTCACCCCAAAATGAAAATTCTGTCATTAATTACTCACCCTCATGTTGTTCCAAACCCGTAAGACCTTCGTTCATCTTCGGAACACGAATTAAGATGATTTTTTATGAGTAAGACCTTCGTTCATCTTCGGAACACGAATTAAGATGATTTTTGATGAAATCCCTGCATAGACAGCAACGCAACTGAAATGTTCCCAGGTCAAGAAACGTAGTAAGGACATCGGTAAAACAGTCCATGTGACATCAGTGGCTCAACTTCAATATAATGTAATGTAATAAAATGTTATATTATTTATTTGATAGAATTAAAAGAGCAGTTTTTATGCCTGTCCTTCTATTGTACTGGTCGAGGCTGATATGGGATTTAAAACGTAATGAGTAATGCAATACTTTTTAAAGAAAGTAATTAGTACAGAAATCAAATTACACTGTTAATTACTTTTTTATTGTAACTTACCTGAGAGTGCTCATAGGGCCCTAAACACGACAGCATATGTAAATATAACATTTCATTATTTATTTCTAAATTTAAAACATTTTAACTCATGCTATGCCACTAATGTTGTTTGTCTGCTTTCTTTTTAGGATATACTAAACAATAACAAAAACGTGGGTAGCACTTCTTAACTTTAACATTGGCAGAGGAATCATCTGGCACCTACAAAATGCTTGGACTTCAAGAAACAAGGTCTACTGGAAGTCCTAAAACATACAGCTGTGTGGCATGCTCAGCTACTTTTCATAATTTGGCATCACTCCTGGTGCACCAAGCGTCTCATGCTAGTGATAACTCTCAACAGCCAGAATCAGCACTACCTACTTGTGTCAGCTGTGGAAGCTTATTTGCGAGCAAAGATCTCCTTGAAAAACACCACTGTGTAATGTTGCCCACTCCAGCATCTCCAGTCCACACCTACATATGTGACTGTGGCGAGGAGTTTAGTGGACTTACAGCTCTTGAAGACCACAAAAAACAACATGGGTCAGAATACAAGGTCAAATCAGATTTGGAGAGTATTCCAGTTGTGCCAGATAGCAAAACAGACTCTAGCCGTCCTGTCTCAGACCAAGTTTTTCACAGTCTTTCACCATCCCATTCCAATGAAAAACCCCTTGCACAAAGCCCACCTCCTACTTCAAACAATGACATCAAGAAGAACGAATCCAATGAATCTGCAGACATGGACGGCAACGAATCTGCAGACATGGACGGCAACGAATCTGCAGACATGGACGGCAACGAATCTGCAGACATGGACAGCAACGTCTTGAAGCCATCTGAATCCCACCCTGTGACCGAAGAGGAAGTACAGTTACCTGAGCAAAACCATGATGCTTTAACAACCTCCAATGTGGTAAACCATTCTGTGCAAGACAATGAGAAATCACCAGAATCTGGTGAAGATTCAGCTGCATTTAATAAGAAATCAATCCTGAAGATGCTAGCATCTGCTTACATGAGTCATAAACAACCCGTCCAAATGAAACAGAGGAACTTGCCCCCCAGAAAAGCTTCACCGAGAGCACCAATGCAACCTGCGATCACCATGACAATACCAAAACCCAAGCCACTGGAGACTCAATCAAAGATAAAAAAAGACAACACAGTGGTCGGTGTGAAAACTGCAAAGATGTTGCCTAAGAAGAGCAAGATTATATCTGTGACACAAACTCTCTGTCCTGTGGTGGTTCTTGAGACTCGTCAAAAACTTTTTGGCCGGGACAATGTGGAAGGTAGACATCAGTGCAGACTCTGCCGTAGGGTTTTCCAAGATGTAGACACCTTGATAATGCATCATGCCCTGCATAAAAAAGAAAGAGTTAAATTTTGTCTTTGTTGTCAACAATTTGTGATAACGGTAATCTCCATCCCAGAAAGCCATATCTGCTATGATGGATTTTCTAGAAACCATCAACCTTTGATGGGGAAAATGTCTCTGAAACCAATCAGCCCTACAGCTCAACAGACAGAAAAAATTTTCCACTGTTCTTTATGCAAGCGTGGCTACACACGCATGCGCAGCCTCAAAAAGCACAACTGTCCGTGTAAAGCTTCTCTGAAATCCCCGACCACTGTAGGCACCAGCGGTAATGTCAGACTTCAAAACTTGGAGGAGTGCAATACAGCTGTCCTAAACTCGAAAACAAATCAAATGTCAACACAGCATATAAATATTGGCGTAGGCACAGAGCCGATAAAGATTGAGGAACAGAACACAGAACTTCCTATCGGCAAGAAAGATCAGACTGGGCTGAAGATGCAGCTGAAGGACCAGTTAAATCCCCCAAAAAACCTTGAGTCCGTCTTTGCAAGCGTTTCTAACTCCAAGCCAACTGAATTAACTAAAAACTCTGTTGAATTACCAGCCAACACTGTTGACGTAAAACAAGAGGAAAGAGATCAGTTGGTTGAAAAGCAGTGGACCATGCCTTTGGATGATGCTGAAATTGATGTACTAATAGATGTGGATCAAAAGGACTCGGATGAGGATGATTTGACAGATGAAGTTAGAGACGACTGTGATGAAGCTGAGGATGTTGTCATTGTGGAGTCTCATGAGGACAAGGAAATGAAGTCAGCAGTACCTAGTAATGGCTTTCAGGTGCATGTGACTAACAAAGGCTTGAAGAGGTTTGTTTGCAACGGGTGCCAGAGAAGCTATTCCCGCCTGTTTACTCTAAAGGAGCACTTGAGTATTTGTGAGGCAAGAAAGTTGAAGCAGCAAAATGTTACATCATCTAATATGGCTGGGCCGATTAAAAGGTTTCCATGTCCTCAGTGTGGTAAGTTCTTTAGTCGCAAAGACAATATGAATATGCATCAAAAGAAGTGCCATCCTGCAACAAACACTGATTTAGTAGTAAGTAACAGAACCGTGGAGCCTAAAACACCTGTGGCTCAGGAAAACTTATTCGTCCTGTCACCATCTACAGAAAACCAAGCAGTCCGACAAGAAAGCACTCAGAATACTAGCAGTAACAGAAACTGGGGGATCATGTCACTTCCATCTGTGCTCCCAAGAAGAGTGACGTGCGAATGCGGAGCCTCGTTCACTTGTCCTCGACTTCTCTTCGAACACCTGCAACAGCATGCGCAGGAGTCCTACATTTGTCCACACTGTGGTGAGAACCTGCAGTCGTGGATGGATTTTGAGGCACATCAGCAGTTGCACCAATCTCAAAGCTCTGCAAGTGAGCAAAGAGCTGCCCAGCAACAACCTCATTCGTTTTCCCAAGCGCTACCATCACGCGCTCCGACTCGGCCCCAACAGTCTCCAGGTTTTTCTGAGCATAACATAAAAGCCCAACCGCCTGGACTCTTAGCACCTCAACATTTGAACAACAGGCCATTTCCTGAGGCACTGACTTGCCATAAATGCAAAAAGAACTTCAGTCTCCGTAGTTCCTTGTTAAGACACTTACGATTGCGTTGTACTGGCGATACTGTAGGTCAGAAGAAAAACACCTGCTCTCGTTGTGGTACAACATTCCAAAGCCCATTGATGCTTAAAGTTCACATTCAAAGCAATACCTGTAAACCCGCATTTAAACCGATTCGGTGCCCGGTGTGTGTGCGTTGGTTCAGTTGTCTAGATGGGCTCAAGAGACACCTGGTCTCACACAGCAGGCAGTCTGTCTTAACATGTCAGATTTGTGACCATAACTGTCCAACCCCTCAGGCACTCGAGGAGCATAAAAGAAACGTTCATCGACTCAACAGCGGAATGAGGCCAGCGGAGGATGCACAAGAACAGTTGCATCAAGCAGGTGCACAAACCAGTCCATCTACTCCTTTTCAATGTCACATTTGTCTTCGCTACTATCCAAAGCTTCAGTCCCTGAAGGATCACTTGAGGAAAGTTCATCGGCCTAAACAGCCGAAACAAACTAATCGGAGTACCGTAGAACCGGTCCGTTCTGGACCATTTCAATGTCAGATATGTGACCGCTCCTATCCTAACATAAAATCTTTGAAAAACCACCGAAGAAGAGTGCATCATATTGTGGGTGGTGTGTTTCTGCCATCAAAGGGAACTGAGCAAAATATCACTCCCAATCAGTTTCAGTGTCACATTTGCCCATGCAGCTATCCAGATGAACAGTCCCTCCGAAACCACAGAAGGAGGGTCCATCATATAGTGGAAGGTCATGAGCTGTCGAGGGGAGTCACTCAACACCATCTATATAAGTGTCAGATTTGCCAGCGCAGCTATCCTGACGCAGTGTCCCTTAGAAATCATAGGAGGAGAGTTCATCGCCTATTAGGGCCAGTGCCTGAAACACCACCACCAACAACAACGAATAATGACACAGAAGATGCTCTAGAGCAGAAACCGATACCTTTCCTGTGAACGGTGTTCATGCATTCATAAAAGGTGGATCTGCTGCTTGCCTTTATTGCTGTATATGCAATCAAAATGTTGAAAAAGAGGTCATAAGGCAGCACCTGTTGAGTACATTATACCATTTAGTAGTAAGAAATAATTTAGAATAGTTGAAGTTTCATATCTGATCAGTAGTGTAACAGGTTTTTTTGTCTTGTTAATACATTGTTCAGCTTCCTCTGTATTTCATTGATGTTGCCTTAATTTAATTCATCTATTAAATACAGATTATTTGTCCCCCAATACAAACAGAAAGATTTTTGGCGAATGCACTGTATAAATGTCAAATAGAACAGTTAAGTGCTGTTTTTAAGGTAGCTGATGTGTATTAGTGCACTGTAAATACATTTTGATGTAAACATGTCCTACGTTGCATCAATAAACACAATAGTGACATCTTTCTAAGTCTCCAATAAACCAACAACAGGTGTGGTCATGCACACATGTTCATTTAAGATTAAACTCCTGAGGGTTTTATACTGTGCTAAATGTTGCTAGTAATAGTAAAACTTGCTGGACTTGCTCTAAATGATGAAGATTGATTTGGTGAGCTGATTAAGTAGTAAATCTGATGGAGGACTGAACAAATAAATACAGGAGCTGCTTTAAGTGCTCAGTCAACAATGGTAAATTTGCATCTGATACAAAGCCTCAGGAGGGACAAAAATGTCAGAATTGTCTTTTAATTGTCATGTGGTAGGAGTTCTTTAGTGCTTGTGTAAGTTTCTGTATGTTGAATTTATTTTACACAATAGCAAACATGAAAAACATGGGTTTACATTTTGCAAGGATAAAATTAATTCTATACTAGTACATTTTTACCATACAAATAAGTAAATTAATATAAGTTCGTAATCTGCATTAGGAACAATTAATAATGATCAGTAGTAGGCTATATTTATAATTTTACATTAACTTTGATTAATACATTATGTAAATATTGCTAATTGTTAGTTTGTGATGCCTGTTAATGAGTCAATATGATACTCATTTCTGTGTAAATGAAATGCAGCATCAGATCAGCCCTTTGTCACGACATGTACAGTAAGTTTAATTGCCTTTTATGATTTCATGTTTTATTTAGAAATTCATATTATCATGTATAATTTCATATTTAATTTTAAACCATTTCTGCAGGTGTAATTCGTTTACCATGCGTGTCAAAACACTTTGTTTTATGAAACATTTTAATGTGTTTTTTTTTTTTTACTGTTAATAAAAACGAATAAAATTCATACTGATACCCATCCTTTATATGCAATTAATGGTATGACATCATATGTTGCGCGTTAAATGCAGTCAAACTAAAATGATTTAACATTTATTTGTTGCATACTCGGTGATTGTCTTTATTCAGCCACACGTCCAGAATGAGATGTCTAGAGGCTTTTATCGGAAACGGAAAAGGAAACTCCCATTTGTTAGGTATATGCGTCCTGAACAATGTTGCCAAGTCCGCGGGTTTCCCGCGGAATTGGGCTACTTTAACACTTGACGCGGTTTGAAGCGACTAATAACATGATATTTATCCCATGGAATGCGAATTTTAGCAGGAGAACGCCGCCAAAAAATGTGAATTTTACCCTCAGGAATGCGATTTTTAACGGGACCCCTTCGAAACGCGATTGTGCTAGTTTTGAGTAGCGATTGGGTGGGTTTTCTTGTGAAAACCTGGCAACCCTGCTGAAGCGTAGTTCATTGGTGCTGAAAGGAAAGAGCATGAAAGGTTGGTGCAAACTGCCTTGCTTTGTTTTGCTTTTTCTCAAGTGCTTTTTACAAGATAAAGGCAGAATCTAATTTTGAGCAGTCGAGCAAACAATGGGCATTTTTGCATAAGTGGTGCTCTTAAAAAATAAGTTTTGAGGATTTGAAATGATTCGATAGGTCCAGCGTCAGGTAACGTTAACGGTGAATTAACACAGACACATTCCTGTCATGTTTAAATACGCTCCTTTCGCTTTACAGAATAAACCCATTCTTAAAGGACAGGTTGTGCTGTGTTGGTAGATGCAGGGCTGACTGTAACAGAGCATGCATGAAGCATCACAGAATCGTGCATTGTTAACGGCAGGAATGGCCTATGACTGCAAACGCCTGCAGAGCGCCATCACGCCGCTATCTACTGCGGCACTGGAAAAAATGTTTTACCCGAGTTGTGCGTTTGCAGTCTGAATTGAACATCACAAAATAAAACGATTAGAAAATAACAAAATACTAAGACAACGAATAGTGCACACGTCTACATTTTGTTTTCTTTGCTGTAGTTCTATTAACTAACGAATGACTCTTATGAGCCGCTTAAATAAAAGCACGAATCATTGGCAGAAGGCCAGTCAAAGAAACATGTGAAACATAAACGCATTAATAGTAATAATTATTATTATAATGCAGTATTCACCGAAGCATCACAGAATCGTGCATTGTTAACGGCAGGAATGGCCTATGACTGCAAACGCCTGCAGAGCGCCATCACGCCGCTATCTACTGCGGCACTGGAAAAAATGTTTTACCCGAGTTGTGCGTTTGCAGTCTGAATTGAACATCACAAAATAAAACGATTAGAAAATAACTAACAAAATACAAAGACAACGAATAGTGCACACGTCTACATTTTGTTTTCTTTGCTGTAGTTCTATTAACTAACGAATGACTCTTATGAGCCGCTTAAATAAAAGCACGAATCATTGGCAGAAGGCCAGTCAAAGAAACATGTGAAACATAAACGCATTAATAGTAATAATTATTATTATAATGCAGTATTCACCTACTCATTAAATGTGTTTTTTTTTATATACGTTTTATATTGCGCCCTAGTAAATGTTTTGGAAGTCAGAATATTGAGCCAATATCCTGAATGAAATTTTTACATTTGAGTAGCCTATTACTGACAATATGGAAATCATATTTTATACTGCTTTTATGAAAATAATAATTTGCTATCAAAATCAAAAACCATAATACAACTCTGTTAATAAATTGATATGTCCACCTGTTATATGGATAGCAAGTGAAGCAGCTGCTAAAGTTCTAATGCTACTTAGTATTAGATGCAATACATCTTATAATAGGTTGTCTTATCTTCGATTCTTTTTCCTTCTGTTTAGTTTCAGCTTGACCTCTCTCCCCTCTCTCGTATCTGTCTCTCCTCATCCTTCCGTCTCCTTTTCTCTCGCCTCGTCTGTCTGTCCTTACCCCCAGGTACTCCGCGGCCGCCGTGATCGCTCCCCCGGGGGGGGGGGGGGGGGGGGGGGGGGGACTCGGGCACCGGCAGACGATTCGCACATCATGCTTGAAGGAGAGGCCAAGAAGAATGAAACCAACTCTGATGTGGCTGACACCCAGGAACAATCAATGAAGAGAGGAATGGGGGAATTAATTTCGAAAGGTCTGGCATTAAACTCCCAAAACAGAAGTGTGGCAGAACCATCACCTGTAGCCACTAATGTCCTACCTGACTCCTTGCCCTCCAATGCTGAGGAAAAAGAGAGAGAAAAAGGCTTCTGTGAAGTAAATGTAGATACATTTCCACAGCAATTAAACTCTGATTTTACCCCTGTCAACGAGGCTGGTATGGATACACAGAAATATTCGGAAGACCGTGAGACAAATTCTGATTGTCTTTCCAGCACCACAGATAATGAACCAAAATCACTGCTGCTTAATGAAGAATTAAATGAACCACAAACTGACACTCAAAGGTCTGTTACAACAAATGAAATCTCAAGTAGTCAGTCCGAAAGGAATGAAGCCCATTGTTCGACTGTCCAAACATCTGAGGACGCTGTCTGTGAGATGTCCTGCTCTAATAAAAGTGATAACCAATGCAAAGAATATTCTGACAAAAAAATCCACAAGGACACTGCAGATGTGAATGTTTCGGACACTGAAAATCAAGGAGCCTCGCCTTCTGACTCATTAAACGAAAAAGATGTAACATTGGACGATGCCTTTGAAGAGGCAGATTCAGAGCACAATAACCAGATACTTTCAACCGAAGCCAATGCTGAGGCAAGCAGTGTGGAGAACACAGAAAGTAAACATGGATATCCTTCCTTTTCCCGTGGAAGGCCACGCAAAGAAAAAAGGGTTATCAAATGTGAATATTGCGGGCGAACTTTCAATCATGCCTCAGCGTATATTATTCATCTGCGTGTTCACACAGGTGAGAAGCCCTTCACCTGCCAGGATTGTGGCAAAGCCTTCGCTCAACTCTCCAACCTTCGATCCCACAGCAAAGTCCATAAATCCAAAAGTAGGAATAGGAAACATGCACACAGATTCCAAGATAGAGCCACGCCTGAGAAAATTGTGGATGAGAAAGAAGTAAGCATGACCGATAAACTGGAAAATGACTGCCATAGTAATCAAATCACCCCTAAAAGGAGAAGGCGAGGAAGAGGGAAAGGGAAAGGGAAACCCCAAACATGTCCAATCTGTGGCAAAGTCTTTTGCTACAAGTCTGTCCTCAAAATCCATCTTCGTATTCACAGTGGAGAAAAACCATACTCTTGTAAGGTATGCGGCAAATCATTTACTCAAGCGTGCACGGCACGTGTCCATGAGAGAGTGCATTGGTCTATTAGGCCTTACTTTTGTTCAAAATGTGGTAAGGGGTTTTCTCAGATCGGCCCATTAAAAGTACACACTTGTGAGGGTAAAAGTAACCCTCATGCTACCTTGAAAGATATGGAATTGGATGGTGTTATCAGCTTCAGGTGTCACCTTTGCAAAAGTTGCTTTGGCACCAGAGATGAGTATGAATTACATTTGCAAGGACACACTGATACCCAGCGTTACAGCTGTGACCGCTGCAAGCAGACGTTTAGTCTTATTTCAGAGCTACATACGCACAACAAGCATTGCGTTTCCATCCGGCTCGCAAAAACAAAGTCTTCTTACAGTTCACCTCACAGATTACAACGCAAAAACTCCTTGAAGAGAAGAACTCCTCAAAAAATGCGGAGTGCAACTCCAGTTAAATCTCCTCCAAAAGATTTTTCCTTCCAGAGGAAGCTCAAAAAATGCTCGTCTTTACTTGCTTGCCCTCTTCAGGTCATGGCCACCACTGTTTATGACTCTCAGAATAACCTCTATTCAGTCAGTCAGCCCATCAAATCCAGCTATTTTGTATCTCAACTGAACAGTACGCGCCACAAAGCAGATCCAAGAAAGTACTTCTGCCCACAATGTGGACGAATATTCCAGCATGTAGGAAGGCTGAGAGCCCATATGCTCACTCATTCACGAGGTCAAAGCTTCACGTGTATTGATTGCAACAGGATGTTTAAAAACTGGAACAAATTTTGGATTCATCAGCGGCTGCATAGACAGAAAAGAGGGCGCTTTTTTTGCCCCAAGTGTGGACAGGGGTTTCGATTTGTGGGACTGTACAATAAACAT